CATGTTCCACATACATCTAACTAGACACATTTTTCTATAATACAGGGTGTTATTGAAATACACGTACATATTAAAATGGGGAATAGTATGTAATGACCAAAAACGATTGGCACCAATTTTAACTTCAAATTCTAAAATTTAAATATTGGGGAAGAGTCCCCTTTTCCGACCTACTAGTTTCCATATTTAAAGAAGTAAAATAAATCGAAATTGAACTTACCCATAGAAATTGCACTGTTGCCGTAGCAAAACCAATTAATTCAAAATAAAGTTTATTACAGTAATTGTTCAAAATGCCGTCCATTATTATCTACACACACTTGCAATCGTCTTTCCAAAGAACTTTGAACATTAGAAATTAGTCTTGGATTTTGTCGTAGTTCCTCGGCTACCGCATTAACTTTATTGGTTAATTGTTCAACACTATTAATAGGTTCATTATAAACCAGTTGTTTCATGTGACCACACAAAAAGAAATCGCATGGATTTAAGTCCGGAGATCTCGGAGGCCACTTAGTAGGTCCATTTCTGCCTATCCACTTTTGAGGAAATCTAATGTTCAAAAACTGCCGTACGTTTAAATCAAAGTGAGGAGGAGCGCCATCTAGTAGGTACCACATCCGTTGCCTTAATTGTAACGGTATCTCTTCTAGGAGTACTGGCAAAATATCTTCTAAAAAGTGGAGATATCCTGGCCCATTTAATCTGTTCGGGAGAACATAAGGCCCGATTAAATACTGATCTATTATGCCAGCCCAAACATTTATTGAAAATTTTCTTTGATGCCCAGTTTCCCTAATGGCGTGAGGATTTTCATCACTCCAAATATGCGTATTGTGCATATTGAACACGCCATCACGAGTGAATGAAGCCTCGTCAGTATACAATAATATTTTTAGAAAATCAGGAATATCAACACATTTTTGAATCATCCATTCACAAAACTCCACTCTCTTTTCTTCATCACCTGGATATAAGGCCTGGACTTTTTGGATGTGATAAGGATGTAAACCTTGTTCTTTAAGTGTCCGCCACACAACAAATGAGGACACTCCAATTTCAAGACCTAGTCTTCTACAACTTAATTGAGGCCGGTTTTCAACAGCTTCCAATATTTCTTCTTCGGCCGCCAATGTTCTTTGTGTTCTTGTTCTCCCTCGATCTGCATTGACACTCTCAAATTTTCCATGGTCTCTTAGATGCTGAACAGTTGAAATAAACGTACGACAGTCCGGAATTCTCCGATTTGTAAACCGTTCGCGATACAGGATTTGTGCTTGCCGAGAATTTTCTCCAGCTGCCCCATAAACCAGCACTATATCCGTTAGTTCAATATTCGTAAATAGTGGCATCGTAAAAAAATATTTAAAAGTAATCGTAACAACACTTTTTACCAACTTGGAAATGACGCGCTCGTGTTAGCCAGATTCGTAAATCAACTAAAATTTTAATAATCTATAGTTTCAAAAATGTATAGTTTAAAAACAATCATTTATCAAATATTCTAGTTTTTTGATAACGAGGGTAGCAAAAACCAGTCTTCGGAAATAGAAATTAATTCGAAAATCTTGGCAACATGGTTATTTCTTACAAGACTAGTTTTCTTATCATCTGACAAAAACTTGCATATTAATTACTATTGATGTTTAAAATACGTAAATAAACCTAATTTATATAGGTCATCCTCAACATATCAGTGAAGTACGTTTGTTTTAGAATTAATTTTCAAAAATTAATAACTCCCTTAATAAGGGGTATTTTTAAAAAATAATATTTTTCTACATTCAGTGGGGATCTGCGCAATACCCAGTTTTAATATGTACGTGTATTTCAATAACACCCTGTATATTCCATAAAATATAAAAACGGCCTCCCATAAAGTACCCCCCCCCTAGATGTTCCGCCATCGTCCAAAATCTAATCATTTCACCTCAGGCCGAAATAAAACTTATGTTTAAAATTTAATGTTTTTTTTCTTTATCCGTTTTTGAGTTTTCTTCAAAATTCGAAATTTACATATTTTCTCAAATATCTCCAATACGGTCCATTTTAGAGAAATTATGTATGGATCAAAAATTATAGACAACTTTTATAGACAACGATTTTTATAAAAAATTAATTTTTTTACATTTTGTCAAATTTCTCGAATACGGACCATTTTAGGAAAATTTTATATAGAACAAAAAATAATATTGCAAGTAACTTTTATTTGAAAAATTTTCTTCTCCAAACGGAAATAACGAATATATTTTATAAAATTTAAAAATGACCACCAATAAAGTACCCCCCCAAATGTTCCGACTCTGTCCAAAATATAATCAGTTCACCGCAGGCCGGAATAAAGCTTAAGTATAAAATTTGGTGTTTTTCTTCGTATCGGTTCATGAGTTAAGGTGGACACACACACACACACACACACACACACACACACACACACACACACACACACACACACACACACACACACACACACACACACACACACACACACACACACACACACACACACACACACACACACACACACACACACACACACACACACACACACACACACACACACACACACACACACACACACACACACACACACACACACACACACACACACACACACACACACACACACACACACACACACACACACACACACACACACACACACACACACACACACACACACACACACACACACACACACACACACACACACACACACACACACACACACACACACACACACACACACACACACACACACACACACACACACACACACACACACACACACACACACACACACACACACACACACACACACACACACACACACACACACACACACACACACACACACACACACACACACACACACACACACACACACACACACACACACACACACACACACACACACACACACACACACACACACACACACACACACACACACACACACACACACACACACACACACACACACACACACACACACACACACACACACACACACACACACACACACACACACACACACACACACACACACACACACACACACACACACACACACACACACACACACACACACACACACACACACACACACACACACACACACACACACACACACACACACACACACACACACACACACACACACACACACACACACACACACACACACACACACACACACACACACACACACACACACACACACACACACACAAACACACACACACACTCACTCACTCACTCACTCACTCACTCACTCACTCACTCACTCACTCACTCACTCACTCACTCACTCACTCACTCACTCACTCACTCACTCACTCACTCACTCACTCACTCACTCACTCACTCACTCACTCACTCACTCACTCACTCACTCACTCACTCACTCACTCACTCACTCACTCACTCACTCACTCACTCACTCACTCACTCACTCACTCACTCACTCACTCACTCACTCACTCACTCACTCACATCATCCCGAAAATAGTCAAAACGGATTCAGGGACCCTAAAACGTAAAAATCCGTCGAAAACTGGAGGTCGAAAAAAATCATGATTCCTATACTTTCCTTATATCTGTATACAGATAGGAAAGTAAAAATGAAGACATATCCTGCATATGGTTATGGATGCTGTATTATATCTAGCAACAAACTGTCTTCCTTTACGTGGTTCCCACGAAACCCCTATCGATCTCATCATACAATGTCCTCAGCCTGGTCAAGAAAATTTCTTGAATTTAATTTTGCTTCTCTCCAAACATAATTCAATTTTTAAGTGTCAATTAGAAAACTTAAAAAAGGGACAAATATCATATTTGTCAAAAACAATGCAAAATGAAATTATTGACATAATGGCAAATACAGTCTGAAATACCATTGTAAACGATATCAAAGAAGTCAAATACTATTAGCCCAAGAACCAACTGCAAATTTTTACCGTCATCTGATAACGAAATGAAATATACCCCAAAAGCATGGAAAAACATTGTATTTTACCAAATGGCACCTGTGCCAATTCCAATCCTGAGCAAAGTAGCTTAAAAAAATTATTTTATATTAAAAAAATCACATAAGGCATGACAGCGCTAATTTTGTTTGCCCTTAAAGTTTTCCAGAAAATAACATTCAAATATATCTTGATATATATCGTAAAAGGGAAACATTTTCTTCCTCTTAACATCGCACAAAAACATCTATCCACGATTAGTAGGTAAAAATCATTAAAAATATAAATCAATTTTTGCTGATTTAAAAATTTATTTGTATGCCTATTGTTGTGATTCATTTTTACAGGTTGCCATAGAAACGACAAAAAACTACTATGATTATGGTTTAAAATAATTGTCTGACAAGAGTTTATAATTATTCTTGACTATCTCTGCAAATGGTTTATACAATGCCATCTTTCTTCCTTTCACACATAAACATGGTTTAAAAGGTAGGTAAAAATATTAATAATTCTGGTTTAAAAGCTAGGTTCACAATGAATTAGGGTTGTAATTTTCAGGGAAAATACAATTGTTGCTGTCATGTCTTATGTGATTTTTTGAATACAAAATATTTTTTTTAACCACTTTGCTCAGGATAAGGATTGGCACAGGTGCAATTTGGTAAAGTACAATGTTGTTACATGTCTTTGGAGCATATTTCATATCGTTATCAGATGACGGTCGAAATTTGCAGTGGGCTCTCATACTATATACAATAATGTTCGATTGCACTCCAGATGTGTCGCATACAGAACAAATGAGCCAGGTCATTCGCTATGTAAAAAAAACTGGTGATATGTGTGAAATAAAAGAAAGTTTCATTGACTTTATAGAAGTTGCTGGAAAGACAGGAGAGCACATTTGTCAACAGATAATGGAAAAGTTGACAGTTGATGGTTTAGATATGAGACAATGTTGTGGCCAATCTTATGATAATGGATCAAATATGGCTGGCACCTATAACGGAGTGCAAGCCAGGATCAAATATGGCTGGCACCTATAACGGAGTGCAAGCCAGGATTACAAAAAGGAATGGCCTGGCCGAGTTCGTACCGTGTTTGACTCACTCCTTAAATCTTGTCGGTGTCCATTTTCCCTCATCATGCCAAGAAGCAATAAATCTATTTAGATTAATTCAAAAAGTATTTTGCTTTTTTGTCGGCTCTACTACTCGATTGGATACTATGAAGAAATTTGTTAAAACCAATTTAAAAGGAAGCAGTCAGACGAGATGGTCGGCAGAACATGTTGCTGTGAAAACCCTCTTAAATAATTTGCCGGAAGTAGTGGAATCCTTGGAAGAACTTAAGCAAACTTCTCATGCTCCGGAAGCAAAGTACGAGGCAGGTAGAATCTTAAATTCAATAAAGAATTTTAAATTTATATTGAACTTGACGATTTGGGCAAATATTCTCCGCGAAATCAATCGAGTGAATATTGAAATTCAAAAGCAAGATATAATCCTTGCGCGTTCCGCCTCTTTAATGGATGGCCTGATGAAAACTTTACAAAAAATGAAATTGAATATTGGATAGAAGAGGCTAAAGAAGTTGCTGGAAAAATTGGCGTCGAACCTATTCTGCCAAATAAACAAATTCCGAGGTGCAAAAAACAATTTGACGAGATGTGTGATGACGAATCACGAACACTTCAACCAGTTAAACATTTTTCTCAAGCAACAATGATGGTATTTGATAGAATCTTATCAGAAATTAAAAAGAAGGTTGTTGATAGTGTTATCACGATGAATTCGAATTTCGCATTTCTAAATGGTATTGAAATTTTGAATTTGTCAAATGAAGAACTGCAAAAGCATGGAACAGATCTGGGACGAAAATACGAGCGAGATTTAAACGCGGTTGAATTCTGCCAGGAACTCTACGTTTTTAAAGAGCAAGGTCCACTTTCATTTAAAGATATAAAAAATGCTAGCGCTTTCAATCTCTTGCAACAGATTTATACGCATGATTTGCAGGATACCTTTCCCAATATTTGTATTGCTCTAAGAATTTACTGTACGCTTCCTATACTACATCCGCAAGCTGCGAGCGATGTTTTAGCAAACTTAAACTTATCAAAAATCATCTACGATCTTCGATGAGCCAGGAACATTTATCAAGTCTTGCCATATTAGCAATAGAAAATCAAATTGCTCATCAAACTAATTATGATAATAATAATAATAATAATAATAATAATAATAATAATAATAATAATAATAATAATAATAATAATAATAATAATAATAATAATAATAATAATAATAATAATAATAATATTTATTGGCAAAAGTAAATACATAAATAACAAATAACAATCGGTTATATGAGGTAATATGACAATAAATATTTGCAGATTCTACGAGGCTGGAATGCCTGTGTGTAGATTAAATATTTTATACAATTTTTGCACTAAACTAAACTAAACTAAGAACTAACAAAATTAAACGATTTAAAAATAATACAAAGGTTTATTTACTCAAGTAATTTTTTTTTTGCCGAATGAAATAAATTCTTTTTAATTTTCAACTAACGTGCGCAATGCTAGTCGATCTATTTCTTTAACAAATAATTTTAGAGCCTTTTTAAATTTAGAAATTGGTACTATATTTTTCAGTGTTTCAGGCAAATAATTAAACATTTTTGGTGCCATAAATTGGTAACTTTTTTGACCTATAGATTTGCACATATGCGGAATTAGAAATTTTTCCTTTTGGCGAGTAGCATACTGATGAGGAGAGGAGTTATGCAGCTGTTTTTTGTTTAGGTACTGGTTTATGTTTATTCGAATAAAATAAAGTTGTCTTAAATCGTTTATTTCAGCTTCTTCGTACAAGTCATTGGAAGGGTACAGAAAGGGTTTATTCAAAATTATTCTTAAAAACCGTTTCTGCATTATTTCAAGCGGTTTAAGGTAAGTTTTGGCCATTCCCCCCCAGCTCACTATGCCATAACTTAGGTGAGATTCTACAAGGCTATAATATAGTATTTTCATTTGGGCATATGATAAAGCAAATTTAACTTGTTTAAATCTTCCTAGAATACATCGTAGTTTTTTAATTAAAAATGAAACATGTTTATCCCATTTAAGATGGCTATCTAGCATTATTCCTAAATATTTGATTTCTTTTCCGCCACTAATCGTAGTATTTTCATCTATATCTAGGGAATTGAAGTTAGGAAGATATGATGCATAGCTGGTAAACGGTAAGTATAAGGTTTTCCAATATACATTGAATATTTTTGGTTGTTATGTTATCTGGTCCTGGAGCACTATTTGTTTTTAGATCTGAAATAATTGATTTAATTTCGTTGGAGTTGGTTGGTAAAAGAAACAGTGAGTGGGGACAGGTTTTTTTTACTTCTTTATAGTTTAGGTTATTTTTTATTTTACTAGCTAGTTGTGTACCCACATTTGAAAAATAGTTGTTAAAGGCAGATGCAATAGCTTCGGGTTGTGTAATTATTTCATTTTTATTTTTTATTTCTTTTATTTCATTTGTGTTACTTGTTTTTGAGAGTATTTCATTGACTGTTTTCCAAAGTATTTTTGAATCTGTTTTGTTTTTAGTTATTAGATTTTTATAGTAATCTGTTTTTGATTTACTTATTAGTTTGCTTAAAGTTTGTTTATATTTATTGTATTCAAGTTTTAAGCTCTGATTGGTTGGGTCATTTTTGGTTTTTTTGTATAGTTTATTTTTTTTATTTACCAACGTAACTAGAGAACCTGTTATCCAGTTTTTCCTTTTAACTTCATTAGTTTTAATTTTTTTATTTATTACAGATTTGTTTATTGCGGTTTGGATTATTTCTAAGAATGCTTCAGTTGCATCGTCTAAATCTTGTGTTTGAAAAACGGTATCCCAGATTGTTTTTGTAATATTTCTTTTCAGCATTTTCTCATCTACGTACTTTATATAGCGACTAGTGTTATCTATTATTTTCGTTTTATGTTGTGGAATGATCAGTAATATTTGAATCAATTACTAATGGGATAATTGTGTCATAGTTATTTTTCCCCTTTCCATTAATAAATATGTGGTCTAAACATGTACCAGAGGATGGCCTCGTCGGCAAGTTTATTGCTGACAAGTAAGCATATTCACTTAATATGTTCTTGTATTTTGTAGTATTCTCGTTGGAGTCGTCTAGGATATCAATATTGATGTCCCCCAAAAATAAATTATAAGCAAAATTATCTGGTTGGTTTGTAAGTATTAGTTCCAGTTCATCAAGAAAGGGCTCTATCATAGTACTAGGTGAACGATAAAAAGCATTTACTATAATTGTATTATGTTCTATAATTAGTTTAAGTTGTATCATGTAAGTTCCATTTAAATTAATTAGTTTGTGGGAATGATATAGCTCTTTTTTGATGAATATAACGATTCCGTCATTTTGATTTAGTGAACCATTGTTATATACTGTGTGGTATTCAGGTAAATTAATTGAGGAAATATCATCTATAATTCTAGTTTCTGTAAGTATAATGCATTCTATGGGCACTCTTAGGTCAAAAAGGAAAACTTTAAATTCATCAAAATTTTTAAAAATACTTCGGATATTGTTGTGCATAATTTTAATGTTTGTATTTGCCTGATTCACTTCTAATATTTGTTTTGCTTCTTGCGAGTTATCTAGGTAGTAGCTTTCTAATTTGTCTATATTAAAATCACGAATATAGGGATTCATTTCATTGATTATTATTAATAAAATACCTAAACTAGCAAATACAATATTATACTAGTAATTAAAAAAAATTTTTTTTTTTTTTAAATATAAAACTTACCCACTAGATACTAAATAATAGATAAAAGTTTAAAATTTTCAAAAATTATAAAATGTGTATTATAGTCTAGGAAACTATGTTTAAATTATATCCGCCTACCTAATTATGAAAAACAGATAACTAATAGCATATAATTAATTATATCACGATTCTCTACTTTTTACTGGTTCTTTGCCTAAGCAATCTATCCGTGGAATCCTTTATATCTCCATCTACTGGTTTTGTTCCTGATTTTGGCGTTTTAGGAGGATTACTGCTAGTGCTTGCAGTCCTTTTTGCTGGTACGGTTGCTATCTTTAGAGGTGCTGTATTTTTATTTGTTTCCTGGATTTGAGTTTTCTGAGTTTCCGAGTGATCGGGGCTTAGATTTGAGAATGGGTGTGAATCTTCCCTAGTGTTTGGGGTTGGAGGAGCACTGTTTGCCTTAATATTTTGTGAGATGTTGATTTCGCTATCTTTCTCCAAGTCTTCTGCTGTATATTCTTCACCGTTGATATATAATTTGTAATTTTTTATATATGCCTTTAAATTTTCTTGTTTGGCCTTCTTAAGGTGGCAGACAAGTATTTTTTGTTGTTGTTGGTCTTCGGGACGTAGGTCGTTTGTGATCGAGATGCCAGTTCCTTTTAATTTACGCAGATTTTGGAGTATTACTTGTTTTGTTAGAAAAGATACAAACTCTAAGATGATGGTGTTTTTGCTTCCAATACTGTAAATGTTGTTGATATCCTTTTCAGAGATACTGGTAGAAAATATTTCGTTTATAGTTTGTAAAGTCTTCGGTAGTAGATTTTCTTTCTCGGTTTCGCAACCAAAGATTACAATATTATTTTTTCTATGGGCTCTTTCTAATTGTACTGATATGGCCATAGATTTGTTTGCAGAACAAAAGGCTCGAAGAATAAAATTATAATTTCAATGTGTAATATAATAATAAATTTAACCTCATGTTTTATTCAGACCCTATCCTGTTCTAACCTAATTAAAATATATGTCCGAGTCCGACACATCCTGGTATTTTTCGAAAAAATATTGGCTTAACAGAGAAAGAGCAGCGTTATACCGGTAGTTGTGGGGTTCTTGGGGGTGGCCTATGTCCATCAGTGGCGGGTAAGGGTGGCATTCTTCAGTTTTTGCCAGGCCTCAAAAAAATTCAAGATCCGAGGCTGCATGATTTATTCCTCTTATAAGATAATGTCCATACGATTTAAAATAAATATTATTCAGAAATTTTCTTTGAACACGTTCTATAGTTTGTATGGAATTCTGATAGACAGGTGACCAAATTAGACTAATATTCCAATTTACTTCTAACAAATGTAATGTATAACAATTTTAAAGTTTCAATATTAGAAAAACTAGACCAATTACGCACGCAATATCCCAGCAACTTAGACGCAGCGGCAGTTATATTTTCAATATGCTCACTTAAAGTAAATTTAAAGTCAAATTTAACACCGAGATCTTTCGAAATGTCTCATTATTGATAGAGTAGTCAAATAAATAAGGATTTGACGAGAAAAGGAAACAACTTTATATTTGAAAATATTTAATTGTAAAGAATTGTCCAGACACCAACGGTTGAGGATATCCAAAGCGAGCTACAAATTGTAGGCATCTTCAGGTTTCAAAATTTTACTATATAGTTTTAAGTCGTCAGCCCAAAAAATATGTAAACATTTCAAAATAAATGAAAGATCATTGATAAATATAAGGAATAATAGTGGTCCTAAGTTGGATCCTTGTGGTACATCTGAAGTGGCTATATACTTTATGTATTAAATAAAATTATTGCAATTAAAGCATTGAAATGCTCATTAGTTTAGGAAACATGGAGACAAAAAAATGTGGACAGGTATACAAATTATTGCCATTTTTTGGGACGTTATTTGGAATTAATTAGTAAGAAACAATATTTATATATTATACTAGTGCTTACACAATAATTTTTTCCTAATCATGGTAAGATCTTTTTTACATATTAGAAAAAAATGTATTCACGATTTCATTGTAAAATGTAAAATAATGTTTCTTATCTTTTATACGTTTGCAGCTAATAATAGTTTTGCAAATAATATGGTAGCTACAACAAGGTGCTGATTCGTGCTTCAGCTCAATTAGATCGGTATATATTACCCTAAATAATATTTTTCCACGAAGAGGAATGGCAAGAATAGTGTTTATAGAATTGTCCCTAGGTTACACTGGACCTAGATCCATTATTTATTTATGGGGTTATTTGAAGTATATTATACATATTGTAACCTACCGCACCCAGATACCTTAATAATTTATTAATTTCATTTATTA